TTCGCTCGCTCACTCTCCCTCTCTTCCACTAGCTTGGCCACTTACCACTGCCATCACCGTTGGCATCATCAACACCACAACCACTATCATCACGAGCACACTGTTCGCGTAACTCGCGCCATTTTAGAGTAAAAACAGTCGCCCGTTCTCCGCGTGTTGCGAACGTTTTCGTTGTCGTGCTAGCGAACTAATTTCGCGTCGTTGGTGAATCCAATTATTATTGAGTGTCGGTGATCTTCCTCGGAACTCCCCAGAGACTGCGGCTGGAGGAGATTCTGAGCGTCGGAGAGCTAGAGATCTATGGGAGCTGAACTATCGCTTGTCATACCGATTGACAGGATCGCCGGAACGTGGATATTCTATGGTGCATCCGGATACTGGATTCCGTTAGGGCCGATCGGAGAGATTTGCCAAATAGCAAATCAATGAAACCCCAGTCGGGTGGGAGGCTATCGAGATCTGGCTCCGACCCCTGATTAGAGCCGATGGAACCTGAGATGATCGACTCGATTGCCTTCTTGAACGCCTTCCTGAACGAGGCCAGTCGTCAGCTTATCTTGACATGTGAGTCCGTAGCTTAGGCTCAATACGCGAAGAGCACTAGCGAGTCAGGGAGTTACACAGGGAATCACCCGATACGACATTTGAGGCCGATTGATTCCCTCAGGAAACGCTGGCGGACTAAACAGGCATTCGCGAAAAAGTCTTCCGCAGAGATCACCTGCAATGTGCACCGTGGAATCATTTCCGGTGCTCTCATGGGTTTCCCGCCTATAGTTGGTCAGACTGTTCATCGTTTAGTCCGTTCGTCCGAGTTACGATGGTGCACTAGCGACAGTGACTCATTCGCTGTGCTCATCGGGACAAGCCCACGCGAAAGAGCGAATTTTCCAGAATTCACTCTTCACATGGACAGTCTACTAGCAATAGTCCGATTGGGGAAAACGTGAATCATTCGGCCGGGTGGCGTGCAGGAGGATGCGGGAGTCATGGACTCGGCAAAACGAACTTTCTGCAATTCACCTCGATGTATCGCGACTCCAAGACCGACGACTGGATCGAATGCTTCCGAATCGACCGACGTATTCCTTCTAGTGATTTCTCGGGTGAACACTATGAACATGGTCTCTCCGGGGGCTCGGGTCTCCTTACTGGGTGAAAGGGAGGAGTGGGTCGACCTGAGGAGAGGAATGCAGCTCGTCTTCGCACATATCACCGCCTCCCTCGTACTGAACTCTTTGGTCATAAGGTCACGGTACTGAGACGTGCCCAGTTTCAATCAGCTCGTTATCGTGGAGCTTTCTGTTCGGCGGGGTATCATGGAGGGTTCTCGGGGGGTAGGGGCTGTTCTTCTCTTGATCTCGCCTCCTTGTATCACACTTCCACTTAGGTTCGGCGGCAACACGCCTGTGGTGTCAGTGTCACCCCCTCCCCCCCAACTTCTTTTTCTAAGCGCCCCCAGACGCCTTATCGAACATTCGACCTTACCTCCTACAAGCGAGAAGTGGGGGTGAAAGGGCACCGAGGGGGCTCTTCACACTCCTGCGACTCGGGTCACACCCCATGTGCGAAAGATTTGGCTTAGCTTGTCACCGATGCTCTTTTGCACTTCGGCTTCTTCTTTCCTCTCCTTTCTTCTACTTCGGTCGCCGCGAGATCTTGAAGCACGCCGACCAGCGAAGGCTCGCTTGGTGTGTTGTCACTTATCGCGTTCACCGGGTAGTCGAGATTCGTAGATAAGCTCAGTACATTTGATAACAAGTCGCCAGCTAGCAAGTTAGCCGAGCATTCGCTCGTTGGCCGGCCTGTCGGATGAGGCGTATCGGCGTTGTGAGATAACCTTCAATCAGGCGACACCTTCGCAACGACTCGCCACTTAACCCCCACCGTCGCTTATTGATACAACTATTATCAGTCGCTGTGGCTGATGTTATGGCGGTGACCCGTCTATTTGCGACGCTGTGGGTATTCTCCGGCGAGATAAAATCGGCAGCAATGAACAATGGATACATTCTGGTCCATATTGACTTTTAGTTTCTGCTGCTTCTGCGCTTTATCGCAGGAACGAGAGCCCGAGCTCCCTCCGAGATCTCGGCTCCCTCTTGGAGGGATGCTCGCTAGTCCATCCGCTCGGAAATTCCGTGCAGTTAGCGAGTTCAGGTTTCGTGCGTACCAGGAATTATTATTCTGCGTATAATTGTGGAAAGTGATAAATTGGATCTAAAAGTTGCCCACTCCGTCAGAAAAGGTAATTGATTCCGTAATTGTGTGACAAACATCAAGTTTGAACACGAGGACCAGAAACATTTAGTGATTCCTCTAACTGATCACACTGATCGTTCATTGCACGTCGTCCTCGTTGTCGTTCCTCGCGGCCGTCCTCGTCGTCGTGATCATCATTGAGTGGGTTGCAGCCACTGCTGCTGCCATTAACTGCTGCAGCTACATCGGAGAGCAGGATTCTGAATCAAGTTGCGATCCATCAAGCGTGTTATTTTGTTTGTTGTTCATTTTACACCACACCTTTGGCCGCCTCGTCGGTCGCTTGCTGTTTCCGAAGCGCTCTTCGTTCTCGAAACTGGTCGTTTTACGGTACAGTACATACAAAGCTAATCATTAATCGGGCCCCTGTTTCCACTTTTTGATGGTGGTGATGGTGGTTTGCTCTTGCCGTCGCTGCTGCCGCCGCCGCCGCCACTACTATTATCTTAAGGTCTCTCTTCTTGAATTTTACGTCGTCTTTTTCGCCCTTAACGGATCTCATACTTGTTTGCAGAGAGCCTTATTAAAAAAAGAAAAATAAATCAAGTCGAGTACACGTTCCCCGTCTAATTCGTTGTGACTCCACGAGGTGATGGGATTGAGTTCTCAGAAATACGGCTCAACCCCCTTGTTAGTCTTGATTCTCTTCCATAAATTCATCCTCTCCTTCCCGGCGTGGCTTTTAAAGAAGATGGCTCCGGTGATATATACGGCTATTTTTTCGTGAACGATCACGTATATTCACGGAGCAAAGCTAATTGGAGAAACGCGGGAAATGGATGTCAATGAATCATGGCATCGATTGGCCTGCCTCTACTTCACCGCCGCGCCGGTGCTGTTCGGAGGTGTACGAGTGTAAGGAAATGTGCGCGTTTACCCGTGACGTGAGTGTCTAAATGTGGAGTGTTGACTTCGCTGCGGGACTCCTCGCCACAATAAATCACCCGATTATTAAATTTTCAAATGTTCTCGCCACATCTTCTCCCCTCGATATTTCATCTTATCATCATCAACATCATCCATTCGAACGAAAAAAACTCCATTCGCTGGCTGGTGGCCGTCTGGGTTCGCATAGGGACCGCTGCACGATTCCGTTCGAAGACGAGCCAGCAACGCCCGCAGCAGCAGCAGCAGTAATAATAATGTGAATCATTGCTTTTATTGGATCTCACAGTGTGGATTGTTTGTGGTGTTGCCCCGCTCCCGGTCCCGGCAGCTCGCTCTGCAGTCTCTCTGGCGTGCTATGCGAGTCGGCCAAGCTACCAACACACCACCAACCAGCTAGATCGATCACCGGTCGCACCGTAGAGGTTACTGTACCGTGTTGCCTTCGCTCTTCGTCAGCTCCTTCTGCTCAGGGCGGCCGCCGACGACCGAGGTGCCATCGGTAGTTGTGGCGCCTGCGGTACAGGAGAGAAGGTGGTATGGATCGTTGATGTCAATGACGTTGACGAGAGTGTCGGTCGTAATTGCGGTCGAATCGTCTGACCGTCGATGCGACTGAATGTCCGCCAATGGCCCGTGTTTCTCTTCCTCTCCATCTACAAATCTATCTATCTATCTAACTCGTCGGCTGCCGCTGCACCGGTCGGGCGTGAGGACGCATACAGCGCACATCCTGACCGAGCGGCTTTGCTACACGCTGGGAATGTCGTTAAGATTTTGGCCTGGCTAGACTCGCTCCGACGTCGATCGCTCCGGTAACGGCAATAACGGTAGGGCGTTGTCGTTCCCGTCGTCTTCTTCGGCGGCGGCAGCCGCAGCAGCATTAGCTCAGCCGAAGCAGTCCGAAAAATGGAACGTGCATTCGATTACAACTGTCGATCCCTCTGAATCTCATCGAGCAGAAATTCGAAGTAGAAACGGATCGAAGGCGCCGGCCGCAGGGTTCAACACTCTCCCCGTATTAATGTATGTATGCATAGCTTTCGTTTCCAGCGCAGCGACCGGACAGCCTGATATGATTTGTCTCCATTACTCGATTAACTACAAACTGGCACGCCGGGACGCGAGGGAAGCCAGTCGATCGTATTAGATATTGAAATTATCTGAAGACGACTCAAACGCAAACAGAGCACTCCCGTTTGGATTTTGTTTTCGCTCGTGTCGCGTCCGCTCCTCTGCCTACGGATAGTTGACCGACCGAGTCACGTGAGGACGAATTAGCTCTTTGCCCACAACGACGCGGCATCCCGAATATCTGACTCGTATTGGGATCGTGTCAATTTCACTTTGCGACTCCAGCCGCAGCTTCGGTCATTTGGTGGGCGATAACACGTCGCGCACTCCATTCGCTCACGCAGATAAGCCTGTTGAAACGTCGGGCGAGCGGTAGAAGGCGAAACAAAATCTCCGAAAGGCAGCCGCAGCCAGGTCGGAAATATAAAAAAGTGAATATCGTCCCATCTACTCGCACACTTTCAGAAGGGGTTGGCCTTTTCGTAGTCCGATCCGCTATCTCTGACGTACAATGACTCAACGAAAGTGGAGCAGATAGGAACATCTTAATTCACGGGAAATGCACTCGTTGATAATTCTATCTACTGTACGGCGGCGCAAGACACAACAGCTTCTGTTGACATTCCCCGACATTAAATTCCATCGTCTCGACGTTCCTTCCACAGAGAGGGTATCCCGAGTCGAACCGTCCCATTTATGCTCCACTTTTGTAGCTCAATTTTTCGATGGTGGCCGACCGACACGAAGCAGACATTCGATAACGAGAATTATTGTTCCAGGTCCGGACGTTCCATCATTCCTTCTGCACCCCTTCCGGAAGCCGAAAAGAATCCGAACCGCCTTCTCACCGTCACAGCTTCTGAAATTGGAGCACGCTTTCGAGAAGAATCATTACGTCGTCGGAGCAGAGAGGAAGCAGCTAGCCCAATCGTTGAGCTTGACGGAAACACAGGTGAGCCACCCGAGAATCGATTGAGATCAGATTAGAGACAAGCAAGCTCCAGGGTCTCGAGCCGGCTTGAAAACGCTGAACTCGAGCGAGGTCCAGATTGGCAATCATGACGGGGCTTGTCCCGATCATCGATAAATACGCTCCCCGGGAATATGCACAGAATATGGACCGTTCCCGCGTGACTCGTGACGCGAAGACGTGAGCTGTCAGGCGGCGAACGCACAAATTGTCTCGCTGTCAATCAATCAGCGTCGGATCAAGCAATGAAATCTACGTAACAAGCGCCGCTCCCTTGAGGAGTGGGTGGCAAATCTCTCTTTTATTTCGTTCGTCGTCTCCTCTTCCGAATCTCTGCCAAATGAGAGACGCCTCATTCCCATCGGGTGGCTCATTTATTCGCGAAGATTTCTTCATATAGCCGCTTCTGCTTTCGCTCACTCTTTAAATTACGTTGTTGACCAAACAGCAGATCCACTGTCCTTATCCTGGCGCTCGGGACTCGAGGAAGAGCTGTATTGCGATTTACTCTGCTGACCGGATCACTTTTGAGCTCATCCCAACTCCGTTCTGCTGTGGCTGATGATGAGGCTCTTATCGAAGCGTTTAAGGGGTAATTAGGAACCTCAGCGTCACCGAAGCGGAGCAGCTACCTCTTGGTGTAAATAGCTCCGCTTGAGCCTGATTTCACGGGAGCACCTTTTCAGTCAGATGGGAAGCCGCGGTGGCGAATCAGATGGATCGAGGATGGATTCCTGGTCGCATCTGCTGTTGCTGCTCCGGCTAATTTCGGTACTGGTGTTAGCGCTGAATTCAGCATGCCTTTTGAAGTTGATGTCGGAGCTGACTCTCGAGTCGTTTCTGCTTGTCGACGGATAGTAGCAGCAGCAGCAACAAGCAAATGAATGGGCGACCAAGCGACTAATGGGCTTTCTAGCCGCGCGGCAACCATCGCCGCTCGGGGAAGGCTCATCATAGCCAATTTAAAATTTAATGGAACAAAGTCACTTCCATTTTGCGCATTGCACCCTAATCAGTCAGATTCACGCAGCTCAGACAGCCTGAGGGCACCTCCGAGGGGAGATCTTCACGAGAAAGAACTCGGGCTTTCACGAATGATTGGAAAAATACTCCACAGGAGATCGTACAGAGCGGGCTCGGATTCCGACAAGTCCCATAGAATCTCATGCAAGACGCCTCGAATACGATCACTCAGTCAGTCACTCGGCTCGCACGATGAGCTGCCTACCGAAAAGCAGCAATCTCCGAGGCCATTGATCGAAGCTCACGGCCTCGTCGTCGCCTACGATGCGAAAATGCGATCGTACGAATTCACGCTAATCAGTGGCGTCCGATACCGCGAGGCCTTAGAACGGGAATGTATCAGCTCCTCGAAGACGAAGTGGGCGTTCCACGATCTTTTCAACGGATGTCGAGCGCAAAAGAATACAGATAAATTCCCAATAACGGGGCCTGGCAGTGAATATATTCTTATGATGATGATATGGATGATCCCACGATCGGGATCGGTTTTTCTTTTGTGAGATGGGGGTCTTCCCCTCGGACGTCCGCTGTCGGGTCGCTTGGTCCCAGGGAACCTCCGCTAGAACATTGCTTTTCAAAAGGGGTCATAAGGACTTTTAGGGGTTCATAGCGATTTTCGGGTCCCTATAGGATCCTACGGAAGAGGGTCCTAAGGGCCCATGTTTCTAGTGCCACGAATATATAGGGGAGTCCACGGGTATCCACGGCTTCGAGAACTTTGGGAAACACTGCGCTAAGAGCATCCCCTGACGGCTGAGTCTTAGAAGGAGCTTCGTTCCTCGGTCACGGCTCGTCGGAACGAGATACTTCAACTCCTTCCCTTTTCCATTCATTGTCTTACCAGTGTACTTTGTATTCCATATATCCCTCGCCCTCTGGCGCAGACAACGTTCGGGCTGAGACTCATAATCACAGTGATCAATATTCGGTGCTCGTGGCCTCCGTTGTCTCGATCTGGCTCCAAGAGCCTGACTCGATTTGGTGCTGCTCATCGTGCCGGCTTGGACTAATACACAATCAATTTGTGGAGTAATTATAAGCTTGCTCTCATCAGCGTCGCCGTCATCGCCGTCCTCCTCCTCGTCCATCTTTCTCATCGGCTTCTACGCGATCAGTTTCTTCTGCTGATCTTGTCCACTTCATCGTCCGAAGCCTTATTGTTCGAACATGGATTTCACATGAACGTCCGATTACGTTGAAGGCTTTCAAGCGGTCACGGAGGCGAGCGACGGGGAAATTGTCGGGTTTGTCCAGCATCGACTGCTTCTCGGCTACCTGTTGATCTGCGCTGGCATTGTTTGCATTCCATGCTTGATGCTCCCGAGCGTTTTGTGAAGCGAAATATGGAGCCCACGAGACGTTCCATCGGCGTAGATCCCCTCCGCCCCGGACAGCGAACCAAATGCAGATCTTCGGTCGCTTGGAAGCGAATCGCCATTAAATCGTATCGAGATCATACCGGGGGAGTCAGTTTTATCACCCTAATCAGGGCGTAATCTGCGTTGGGCAGGGTCTGAACTTTCCACATGTAGTAGTAGCGAAGCGGGAGAGAGAGGAGCAGGGAAACTAATTGCGATTGAGATAGAGAAGACTCGACAGATGAATTCATCGCGGGCGAATTCGGTGGCCAGTGAGACGTTGATCCACTCTCAGTTAGAAAACTCGCGTGGGACGCGACAGACTTTGCTCGATGCGCTTTTCTGATATTCGGAAGAGTCGGGGAGAAAATTTTCTCATGACAACAACAATGACGTCGATTTGTACAAACAACGCCACCGCCGCGGTCGCGGGCACGGACGGATGAGGCAATCGGAACCTAAGCACCCCATGAATAATTATTTAAGGTCAAGCATGTTTGAGCACCGAAATGTCCATTTGAGTCGATCATCGTAGGCATACATATGCTGAGTCGAAGCCAGCGACCATGTGCGTGAACGACATCGAGGCCGACGAAAATGAAGATAGCGGAGATGATGATAAGCGAGATGATCGTCGTCATTATTGTCATTAGAAAAGTTATTACACTTATCAATTTAATTGGTTGAATTGCTCAAATGCTGTGGTTGGGCGTCGCAATTTCATACAATATCCGCGTGTGGGTTTGAGCAGCTCAACGCATCTTTGAGACGGCCACAACGAGACATTGGAGGGAGAGGGCAGAAATGAAATTTGGTTTCACGACTCTTCCCCCAGAGTCCACCGATCCGTCGACACTTGAGTACGTCTTCAATCGCTCTGTGTTCGTGTGGCCATGCTCAGCCGCATCAGTGCTGCTCAGGGATGCCCTCCGCGTTCCATGGAAGATCGCCGGAACTTGCACGGGAATCCAGTCGACGCACGTCGTCCAGTCCCAGTCAATGATAAGATATGGATGCGTTCGGCACTCATCACTTGAGCGCGTCGCGTCGGGGGCAACAGCAGACTTTTTATCCTTCGGTGGCCAACTTTTATCTCTTAAGAAATCACCGTGGCAGTGGTGCTGGTATAAACAGGAGCGAGCCACTTGGCGAGGGACTCCTATGATCCTCGGAACAAAGGCATCTCAACATGAATTTCTGTCAATTTTTTTTGGTTGGCAACAATCCCCACGACTGGAATTATCTTGTTCCAAAGTTTCTTCCGCTCGACCAGGAATTGAAAACAACGAGACAGCAACTTGACAGGCTACGGGGTCCCGAGAATTCTAGTTCGTCCTACCGGACGAACGAGATAGTACCAGCGGGATAGTACCTTTAGGCTGATGTCTCGCGATAACGGAAGCGGCAGCATTCACTCCGCAGAGTTCCGTAGCTGTTCAAAACACACGTTCAGTTGGGAATATTATTCGCGAGCTTATCAGCTCGTGCAACTTTCGATCCGTGGTCCTGGCTGAGAATCTCGTGCAGGCCCATTCGCATCAGCTCGTCTAGGGCCACCGACACCATCGGGAAGGCTCGGCGAGCCGGGAACGAGCAGAAGATAAAGTGTAAATGTCCAGGCATGCCGAGCCCGCGCTGTTGAACTTTGAAGACAAAATTAGCCGTAGCTATAGTTTTTCTCTGTTGGGCAGGTGAGAGCCGGAGCATCCGAGGCAGCTGATGACCACTGAAGCTTGCCCGCGCTCGTTTGGACCAATCGATAATTGGCGTTTTTCTTCCTCAGTCAGCCTATTTGGCGAGTTTGCTCGAGCACTTGGCTGACTTCTTCAGTTCGCGCGGATTAAATTCCTCGGCCGTTGGAACGGTCTTATTGTTCATACACACGAGGATGAAGTGCACATACTTGTCACGACCAATGGCTCAGTAACCGGGAAGGATTCTCCGAGGGGGATGCGTTCCAGTATGCGGACTCCCTCTGGAGTTGAGCGGACGTTCGCGAAATGTGAATAGAGGTGTGAGAAGTAGAGCTACAGAGCTTATGAACCTCAGACTTCTGATCTCGACTCTCCGATCTGCGAGGAAAATCGCCACCTCTCGCCAAGATTGAGTTTTCGCTGCCGTGTATCCGGTCGCCACCCTAGAGTGCTTGAAATAATTTCAGAGAAAAGCATCCGGAAGGGGTACGGTGAACGCTTTACTTAACGGACACCTAAAGACGCTAATTTTCTGTTCGCCGTTTAGCGATTCATTTCCCGAGCTAGTTTGTTAGCGATAAGTGATTTTCACTGCGGCGCGTTCGCTCGCTCCCTCACCGACTCGTAAATTGAACCAAGGAACGGCCACTTTGAGAGGCTCGAGGACCGGTCCCGCTGTCGCTAAAGACAAGGTTTCAGGTAATTGAGCAGGATGGAAAGAGAACGCTGACCGAATGTGAATTTCGAAAAAGAGACAAATTAGACCTAGAGCCTCAGGAGCCCGAGCGGGCAGTGGCCGAGCAAACGGTAGAGCGTTTATAGCGAAACGAGAGCATCGTACAATTGTCTTCAAAGCAACAGAAGACATAGCTGGGAGAATTCGCAAATTGATATTAATTGCCACGCA